AAAAAAAAAGCATTTCTTTGCATTTTGTTTTTCATCTCCCACGGTCATAATCGACCACCACGGCGAAATGTAATTCAAAAAAAATTATTCGAGGAGTTATAAAAAAAAAAAATGCTTTTTTTTTTTTTTAAATTAAATCACCGATCTTGCGTGTCGATTTTTTCTTTCTTTATTTCCTTACTGTTCGTGTACGTTTTCATTTATGTATATGTATATGTACATTTTCGATGGCAATCTATGACGCGAAAATTCTTTTTTTTTTTTAGTTTTTTTAATGCCCTTTTTATAGAGATTTGAAAACGAGAAACTGAAAAACCTAAATATGTGAATATTTAAAAAATTTAAACAAATAAACATAGAGATAAAGAGGAAGACAGATAGAGAACGAGAGAGCGAGAGAGAGAGAGAGAGAGAGAGTAAGAGAGAGAGAAAGACAGAACAGCAACAACAATGTAATGGCAAATGGCAAAAGTTTTGAAAAAGTTGTTAATATCGAAAAAAGAAAAACCCTTTTTTTTTTTGTTCAAGTATTTAAAGTATTTTTAAACGAATTTCACCTAAAAACAAACATGAACGGTTTTTCGTTACTTTGTTTAGCTTGTTTCTGGAAAAAAAAAAATAATAATAATAATTTTGAAAAAAAAAAAATTTTTTTTTTTTTTTTTTATCACATGAAAGAAGAGTAAAACGAAATAATATTGAAAATTGGAAATTTATATAAAAAATTTCTGCATAAACTAACTGCGCCCCGAGAATAGATTCGCAATAAGTTTTCCGGTGATAAGACAATTAATTCAATTTGAAATAGGTCACAGCAGTTTCATCTCACACCTAATAGTTATGAACGAATGCTTTAATTTAACTAATTGAACTTGGCGTCGAAGGTGATCCGAAAAAAAAAAAAAAATTACTAATAATAACCTTTCTTTTTTTATCCAGCGCACAGCAAGTAAATGATGAAAATGTAGGTTTTGTTATACTCACCACTAGAGCTTACGGCTTTTCGACTTGTCGAAAATTGTAAAGCATTGGTATACGCGTCGAAGAATAGGCCCTTCAACGATTTAAATGTGACAGAATCACATTTCACTCTATCTATCTCGTAATCATTTGATTATCATTTTAAAATTTTAGTTTTAAAAAGTTTTTTCTCTATTTTTAGCTAAATCCCTGCTTCACTTTGTTAGCAGTTATTACTGCAGTTTTAGCATTGCCCAAATGTTCTGATGCTTTACCTACATTCACATACCTAATGTTTAGGATATGTTAAAAATCTTTCTTATCTTTCTTGTCAGATTAAATTCAAAAATTAGAAAATTGGCCGCAAAGGTTCGGTCACAATCATTACAAGATCTCATACACGTAGACGTAAAGTAGAGTTTATTAAGTACGGTCTGAGTTATGTAAAAGTATGATTCACTATACTATAGTTGTGTTATTTTGTAATACGATATACAATACGATATATCAAATACGATCCTACAACCGAATATCTTGCAAAGCATATTTAAAAATTCCGCTCTTGTCTGATTTCGAATTGAAAATGAATTTTAAAAAATTATTTTATTCAAAAAATCTTTTCATTAATAGTTCCAAACTATCACAGTAAACGAAGGTAATATGATAATTATTTTTTAAGTTTTGATTTTTCGGTTATTATATTTCAATACACTTTCTCCAAAGTTATTCGAGTGATTTCGAATCATTAAAGCAGAACAATTAATTCGGTAGTGCGTACTTTTTTCTCGCCTTAAGATTAGAAGAGAAGGTCCAAAAATATATTTTTTAATACATTTACGCCTATTCGTCCAATTACAATACGTGCTGTACATCTTCGGCTGGCTTAGCTGCTGCGAAGAACAGCATTGATAGCGTGATAAGGTCTTCGCGACGTGCGTCAAACGTGTATTATATAGGAAGGCAAAGGGGAGTTTTATAAATGCAAGCGTACATACTTGGCGAAGAAAGTCAAACAATTCTGTGCAAGATCTCGCCAAACATGTAAGTTAGACACGACGTGAAAGGCAGGAAGTAAGTATAGATTTAGTACCTTTTTAAAATTTTTAATGATCAGTGTCTGCTTTCGGAATTGTCCGTACAGGTTTAATCGTGACGATATCTTCGTCTGGCCTTTCTGTTCAGACACAGAAGAGGCAGAATAAAAATTCTTAGCAAAGCGCAAATTGCGTAGTCTTAGAAGAAGTGAACTTTATCGGCTTAGACTGAGCAAGCAGACGATTTGAATCACTAGTATATGCGTATGTGTATGCACATGTACATATATACATATAGACACGTGTATGTATGTGAATCTGTATATACAAAAGCAAATGAACGTTTACAAGTGTACGTATGTATACGTAAAAGGTTATAAATAAAATACATGTATATGCAATTACATACAATACGTACACACGTACAAAAGTACATATGTAATTAATTTTTTACACCTTTAGGTGGGAAAGTCGTCGAAAGCTGAAGCTGTTGCTAGTGCGAGACTATAATTCGCTACAATCCACCTGTGCTCCTATCCCCTATTGTGTAGCACGACGGCTTACGATAGGGGATGTATATACTATATATATATAGATAGATATATATGTACATATATATGAAAATGGCGTGCTTTCATTTCGCTGATTTTCGAGATTTTCCAAAATAGATCTTTTCTTTCAAATTATTTGACTTTTCGTCATTTTGAAAACTTTTTGTTAGAGCTATAGAAAAATTGTGATTAGCGAGAAATTTCAAAGGATATACATAACATATATGTAGATGTATAGGCGTATATATATATATATATATATATATAGAGATATAGATATATAGATA